TATATATGTGTGTGTGTGTGTGTGTGTGTATATGTGTACGTGCGTGCGAATGCTTATATGTGTGTGCGTTTGTATATATATATATATATTTTTTTTTTTTCTCTCTCTTTTGATTCGATGATGTCTGTCCTTGCAGCGAACGAAATATAGGGAAATAAAGAAAAGAAATTGTTTGGACGAAATCCAATCGTTTAAATCGATCGATCGAACGATCGATAACGATCGAATGGTCGATTTCGTATGTTCATTTACTTAAAAAAAAAAAAAAAGAAAGAAAAAAGGCATGTAAAAGTAAAGTAGACGCGTAACCATTTACTTATTTCAAATTGGTACTTCCACCTTGTTGATTAATTTTTTTTCTTTTTTTTTTTCTTGTTTTTGTTTTCTTTTTTTTTTTTTTTTTTTTTTTGATACTTTTATCAAATTAAAAAAAGAGAAAAAGAAAAAAGAGAAGAGGAAAAAAAAGAAAAATAATGAAAAATAAAATAAAATAAAATAAAATAAAATAAAATAAAATAAAATAAAATGAAGTAAAATAAAAGAGAGAGAGAGAGAGAGAGAATATTAGAAAGAAAAAAATAAATTGATATACATATAGTAATTCGTAGGTGTAGGTGGGTATCTCGTCGACGAATGTACCAATGGTTTTTGGATTACTCTGGATTATATAATATCTACCTACGTATATTTGAATAGGATTCTTTTTCTTTTTTTTTTTTTTTTTTTTTTCTTTTAAAGAGACCAAAATCTCGTCATTTACCCGGGAGTTTGCGAATGGAAATAATTCGTAATTGCACGATTCTTTTCTATATGTCGTTATTCGTTCTTTAATTAGAATTATAAACGATTTAAATTTATCAAAATTTCTCTCTCTCTTTCTCTTTTTCTCTCACTTTATTTCTTTCTCGATCTTCTTTGCCAACGAATTTGCATAAAGTGATTCTAAGATCTTGAATTTATTTTCGAAATAATGAATAGACACAGTTGTGTATATATATATATACATATATATATATATATATGTATATATATATATATATATATATATATATATGTACATAATTACGTACTATATGCTCTCTGTCACGAATACCTAAGCAAAAGCTTAGAATCGTCTAAGATATCGTTTAAAAACAAATGAAGCGTCTTCGAGGAATTCGCTAAACGAAATGGAAACGCCATAAAACATATTTGACGCATGAAATTCTTCTCGAAATAGTTCGATCATTTTTTCCTTTTATCCGACGATTAAGACGTTTTATGGAAACGATCAAAAAAATATTTCAAATTCTAATGATCGGATTTTTTCAACGCGTTGATCTCAAAACTTCCTCTATCTATCTCTCTTTTCTCTCTCTCTCTCTCTCACGATTTATCTACCTACCATTTTAACGTTTCAATATTGTATGACACGTGAAAAATAAATATTCACACTTTGATAATCGTTTGAAAACACGCATTCACGCGTTATCCCAAATTTAAAAAAAAAAAAAAAAGAAAAAATAGGAAAAAAAAAAATTGATAGAGTACCTAAAAGTCGATGACTTTAACGAGCTATCTATATAGTTATATTTATTGCACGTTACAACGATCAGCGTACCCGATCTACTTGATCTATATCGAATGAGTTTATGAAAGTTTAAAAACGGAGTTTAAGCTTGACACGCTTTACGGAGGAATATTTATTATCAAAAAAAAAAAAAAAAAAAAAAAAAAAAAAAAAAACAAAAAAAAAACAAAAAATAAAAAATAAAAAATAAAAAAAAAAAAGAAAAAAAGAAAAAAATAAAATAAAATTTTAGATCTTGTTAATCGTGACGGATTAATCGATAGTGCATCGTTCTTCATACGATAATCAATTTTCTAACGATAAACGAATGAACGAGTAATGGTTAGAATTATTAGTATTCTTTTTTTTTTCTCTTCTTTTTTCCGAAAAGCACTTATAATAATAATGAACATAGATTTAGTATTACAATAATACGAACAATAGAATTATAATAATAATAATATTATATAAATATGACTGGTTTGTTTGAACTTATAAGAATATAAATTTAAAAGAATATAAATAAATATAGAAAGCAAACGTTACGACACAAAAAAAAAAAAGAAAGAAAGAAAGAAAAATAAAGTAGAATATAATTAATATTTATAATTACAATCCCGCTTTTTTTTTTTTCTTTCTCTTAATATTTTCGACCAGGCATCGGTATTATCTTCGGTCCCGAAGTTTTTTGCGATATTATGAATGAAAAAAAAAAAAAAAAAAAAAAAAAAGAAAAAAAGAAAAAGAAAAAGAAAGAAAAAAGAACAAAGAATTCTATTCACAATGAGCTAAGAAACTCTACGATTAGATATATTTCCTTTTAGAATTTAGGTTTTGATAAAAAAGAATGGATAAATAATTTCAATGAATATTCATTTGATTTCATACATTCGACTTTTAAATCGTCATATCGACATTGAAATGTATGCATTTACGGAAAGAATCGATTAGAATCCTTCGAAAAATAATCATTTAACGATTAGTGACGATGATTAAAGAGAAAAAAGAAAAAAAATTTGAGAAAAAAAAAAAAAAAAAAAAGAAAAAAAAAAAGAAGGAAAGAAAAAACAAGAAACAAAAAAAGAAAAAAAAAAGAAAAACAAGAAACAAAAAAAGAAAAAAAAAAGGAAAAAATATACAGTAGCGTACTGATAATATAGTTATTTAACGATCGTACGCATAATTAAAACTAATGATGCTTTGATTGATTTGACCTCGTTTAAATTACGCAAACATCCTTGTAATTATTATCAATGTTCCATTGCCAAATAATGAGTAATAATTAACGGGTAATTTTTCGTTGGAACAATGTATAATATAGATCTCACGTTGGTTTGTCTAATAGAAATGTTGACCTTAGATAATACGTTATCATAAAACTTATGTGAGTCCTAGACAAAGCGTCGCGTCACGAACGTCGTAATATCACGTAAATACGTACTTATACATACGTACTTATACATACGTATACTTTGTCAATTTTATTATTATTATTATTATTATTATTATTATTATTATTATTATTATAATTATTACATTTCTTCTTTTTTTTTTTTTTTTTTACATCGCAACCGACCAATTTTTATTTAGAAGATTATCGATTTCTTTTTCTTTTTTCCGCCAATTTAGTTCCTTTTTTTTTTGATTGTTTGTTTGTTTTATTCTTTTTTTCTTTATTTATTTATTTTTTTTTCCCCCGTTAATTTTACACGGACACGAGTAAGCATGGGAGGTAGAAAGAGTCTCGGGTAACGAAAAAATTTTTATCTTCTCAGTCTGAATGGCACGCTACAACCACGGTACAAGCGAATACCTCTTACCTACGCAAAAAGTAAAATGCCTAGGCTCATTTACAAGAGGAGAAACGATCGTAAATAGTCGTAAAGATATATATCGCTACGGTTAGGTACCTACTAAGAAAATTGTTAGCAAAATTATTATGAGACCTTCTTCGTTCTATGACCTTCCTCTTCCTCTTTCTTTTTCTCTTTCTCTTTCTCTCTTTCTCTTTCTCTCACTCTCATTCTTTCTTATATATATATATATATATTTCTTTATTCTCATTTCAATAAAATTTCAATCATCAAATTTAATCTCTGTGAGAATATAATATAAATATCTAACTAGATAACTGCAAGTAATATTCAATCGATTGACGATATATCGAATGTTTTCTTAAATAGTTAATGTAATGTTCTTAATTCATAATCGATCTAGTACATTAAATCCAAGAGGAATTAATCGAGCAATTTCACGATTTATTATGATTATTTTTCTTTTTTTCTTTTTTCTTTTTTTTTTTTTTTTTTCATTTTTCACAAACGACGTCTTTAAAGTTTTCAAGAATTTATCCATAAATCAATGATTATTTTTCACACAGATATATATATCTATTTAATTTACTTTACGTACGAATAAAAGCATATACTTTCTCTCGTATTTTTAATTTTCGACGAATATTAACGAATTTTCATTCATATCTCTCTGTCTAACCTGTCGTACGTTCACAAACGTTATATCGATCACTTAAACGTATATACGTATCCATAATTATTAACGTTTTCTATTTAAGATGAAAAATTAATTTGTATAATACGAAGGATGAAAATTGAATGGTTCCATGTACGAAAATAACGATGAGAGATATTATCGAACGACGGATCCTTTTCTAAAACGTTCGATTACTCTTCTTTTGGAAACATGAATGCGAACGTTATTGACAGAACTGTCAATTATTGATTTA